GCAGGTGGATCATGAGGTCAGGAGTTCGAGACCAGCCTGACCAAAATGGTGAAATCCTGTCTCTACTAAAAAAAAACAAAACAAAACAAAACAAAAAAAAAACACTTAGGCATGGTGGCACATGCCTATAACCCCAACTAGTAAGGGGGCTGAGACAGGAGAATCGCTTGATCCCAGGAGGTGGAGGTTGCAGTGAGCCAAGATCGTGTCACTGCCGTCCAGCCTGGGTGACACAGCAAGACTCCATCTCAAAAAAAAAAAAAAAAAAGGAAGAAAAAGATGCCTAATAGACATAATTCACAGCAAAGAAGAAAGGTTTCTATTTACCTTTTTTATATTTGAGCTTTCATAGACATCTTCTTCCCTTAACCACTGCAGCAAAAGCATCACCATGAACCAACTCGCCCAAACTTCTCCATGGATGAGATTACCCGGAAGACAGGAGTTCCGCTGCTTGTCTTGGTCTGAATGTCTGCTTGTTACCTGCTTAGGGTTATCGACTGTGATTCTGGGAATCATTGTTGTTGTACAGGACCCTTCTGACTCTGTGGTTTTCTCTACTGGATTAACAATGATAGCCATAGGTGCTTTTTTTATTGTCCTTACTGGATTGATAGCCCTGTGCATAGTTAGAGTCGATGAGAACTTGGAGCAAATCACAAGGCTGAGTCTAGGAGTGACACAAAGAAGCAGAAGTTCCCCAGGAACTACAGAGCCGTCCACGGCTCAGTCAGTGATTGCCAGCACTGCACTGTAGCTATACATTAAACCCTGGAATCTTCCTCTTTGGAACCAAGTCTCCTGAGCATTGTTTTTAAATACAAATAAAATCTGGCTTTTAAGAAACTTTTTCTGATTTTGTAATGTTCTCGTTCCCTAAAGCATATGATTCCCTGTGCAGAAGGAACTTCAGGTGATGGCTCTTAAATTTGTGCCATCTGGCCGGGTGAGTCTCTCACCTGTAATCCCAGCACTGTGGGAGGCCAAGGTGGGTGGTTCGCTTGAGCCCAGGAGTTTGAAACCAGCCTGGGAAACATGGTGAATCCCTATCTGTACACAAAATACAAAAATTAGCCTGGTATGGTGGCACATGTCCATAGTCCCAGCTGCTTTGGAGGCTCAAGCAAGAGAATCACTTGAGCCCAGGAGGCAGAGGTTGCAGTGAGCCAAGATTGTGCCATTGCATTTCAGCCTGGATGACAAAGTAGACTGTCTCCCCTCCCATTCAATAAAAAACTCCATGTCATTGCTGGGCACAGTGGCTCATGCCTGCAATCCCAGCACTTTGGGAGGCTGAGGCGTGTTGAACACCTTAGGGAAGGAGTTCGAGACCAGCCTGACCAACGTGATGAAACCACATCTCTAAAAATAAAAAATTTGCTGAGTATGGTGGTGCATGCCTGTAATCTCAGCTACTTGGGAGGCTGAAATAGGAGAATCACTTGACCTGGGAGGCAGATGTTGCTGTGAGCTGAGATCACGCCATTATGCTTCAGCCTGGGTGACAGAGTGAGACAATTCCTTAAAAAAAAAAAAAAAAAATTCCATGTAGGCCAGGTGCGAGGGCCAATGTCTGTAATCCCCACATTTTGGGAGGCCGAGGTAGGTGGATCACTTGAGGCCAAGAGTTCAAGACCAGCCTGAGCAACATGGTGAAACCCCATCGCTACTAAAAATACAAAAACTAGCCAGGCATGGTGGCGGGCATCTGAAGTGTCAGCTACTCAGGAGGCTGAGACAGTCACAATTACTGCTTGAACCTGGGATGCAGAGGTTGCGGTGAGCCAAGATTTCTGAACCAGGTCTCAGGGAACAACCTCTCTGATTTTCTCCTGCCCTTTTTCACCCCAAGGCAAGAATCTTCTCTCACCTTGCGTGTCGGAGTTGGCTATAAAGAAATAATGTGACGGACCTTGTCTGACAGTAGGTCACAATACTCCCATTTTGGAAGGGGCTCTACCCCATACACTGAAAGAAGTGTTGTCTGACCTACTATGATTACAGGTCACAATACTCCCACTTCAGAGGAGATTCTGCCATCTATCCTGGAAATGTTGCGGGAATCATGTCTTGGATCCACCACAGTTGGCTGAAGCTGGCAGCCCTAGAAAAGTGGACCAGCCAACTGGACCCAGACCATCCGAGCTGGCTAATGCTACGTGTGACTGAGTTGCCACCAAGGATGACAACAGCCCCGCTGTGGTCACTCTGGAAGCTGACTAGTCTATCCACGGCCGAAGCTTAGGACATCATCAGGAGTAAATGTGGCTAGAAATCCTCACTCCAGCAATTTTCTCAGCCATTTTCCTTATACTAGTTAGAGTACTACTGCTTCGTCGCTTTGCCCAGCCACCTCCCCTGGGTAAAGACCTCTTCTGTCCCTGCTGTGTATAAACGTGCTACTCTTTTTTTTTTTTTTTTTTAGATGGAGTTTCACTCTGTCGCCCAGGCTGGCGTGCAGTGGCGCGATCTCGGCTCACTGCCACCTCCGCCTCCCAGGTTCAAGCAATTCTCCTGCCTCAGCCTCCTAAGTAGCTGGGACTACAGGCGCGTGCCACCATGCCCAGCTAATTTTTGTATTTTTAGTAGAGACGGGGTTTCATTATGTTCATCAGATGACCCCAATCTCCTGACATTGTGATCTGCCCGCCTTGGCCTCCCAAAGTGCTGGGATTACAGGCGTGCGCCACCGCGCCCGGCCCAACATTTTACTATACTTCGTTCTTACCCATTGGTCTCTCCTGTCCCTCAGTTCCCGCAACAGAAGAAGGAATGGGGCACAGAGAAACCATGAATCTGAGGCCTTGCTGTTTTTCCACTGTCTGTGAGTATCAGATCCTGCCCTTTGTGTCCAGTCACATTTCTATGCGGTTGTTAATCACAACTATCCCGTGCCTAAGAGGACAGGGTTCATAGATCTTCCGGAGAGCTGAACACGTGAAGGTGGCTGGGGGTGGCTCACCCAGGAAAGGCACGGAAGCTGTGTGCCCCTTTCCCATACCTCACCCTATGTATTTCTTCATCTGTATCCTTGGTAACGCTTGTTTATTTATTTATTTATTTTGAGCCAGAGTCTCGCTCTGTCACCCAGGCTGCAGTGCAATGGCGCAATCTCGGCTCACTGCAGCCTCTGCCTCTCGAGTTCAAGTGATTCCCCTGCCTCAACCTCCTAAGTAGCTTGGATTACAGGTGTGTGCCACCACGCCTGGCTAATTTTTGTATTTTTGGTAGAGAGGGGATTTCACCGTGTTGGCCAGGCTGGTCTCGAACTCCTGACCTTGAGTGATCTGCCCGCCTTAGCCTCCCAAAGTGCTGGGATTACAAGTGGCCATCACCACACCTGGCTACTTTTTGGATTTTTAGTAGAGACAGGGTTTCACCATGTTGGCCAGGCTGGTCTTGAACTCCTGACCTCAAGTGATCCACCTGCCTTGGTCTCCCAAAGTGGGAGCCAGTAAAACTTTTTTTTTTTTTAGACAGAGTCTCACTCTGTAGCCCAGGCTGGAGTGCAGTGGTGTAATTTCACACCCAACTAACATTTGCATTTTTAGTAGAGACAGGGTTTTGCCGTGTTGGCCAGGCTGGTCTTGAACTCCTGACCTCAGGTGATCTGCCTGCCTTGGCCTCCCAAAGTGCTAGAATTACAGGCGCGAGTCACCATCTCCTGCCTGGTAACATCCTTTATAATAAACCAGTAAATGTGTTTCCTTGGATTCTGCAAACTGTGCTAGCAAATTAAATGAACCCAAAGAGAAGGTGGTGGGAACCCCAACTTGAAACAAGTCACAAGTTCTGGAGTCTGAGATTTGTGACTGGTGGGAAGGGAGAGGGCTGTTGTGTATGACTGAGGCCTCAGTTTGTGCAGCCTGATGCTACATCCAGGTAGATAGTGTCAGAATCGAGGCTGGGCGTGGTGCCTCATGCCTGTAATCCCAGCACTTTGGGAGGCCAAGCCAGGAGATTGCTTGAGCTCAGGAGTTCCAGACTAACCTGGGTAACATGGCAAAAGTCTGTCTCTGAAAAATACAAAATAGGCTGGGCACGGTGGCTCACACCTGTAATCCCAGCACTTTGGGAAGCTGAGGTGGGTGGATCACTTGAGATCAAGAGTTTGAGACCAGCCTGATCAACATGGTGAAACCTCGTCCATACTAAAAATACAAAAATTGTCCAGGCATGATGGCGCATGCCTGTAATCCCAGCTACTTGGGAGGCAGAGGTGAGAGAATCGCTTGAACCCAGGAGGCGGAGGTTGCAGTGAGCCTAGATCACACTATCGTACTCCAGCCTTGGTAATAGAGCAAGACTCCAGCTCAAAAACAACAACAACAACAACAGAAAGAAAAATGTAACCAGGCATGATGGCGCATGCCTGTGGTCCAGCTGCTTGGAAGGCCGAGGTGGGAGGATTGCTTGAGCCTGAGAGGTTAAGATTGTCCCACTGCACTACAGCCTGGACAAAAGAGCTAAACTTTGTTTTTTTTTGTTTTTTTTTTTAAAAAAGAGGCTGGGCATGGTGGCTTACGCCTGTAATCCCAGAACTTTGGGAGGCAGAGGCGGGCAGATCACGAGGTCAAGAGATCAAGACCATCCTGGCCAACATGGTGAAACCCCGTCTCTACTAAAAATACAAAAAAATAGACCAGGTGCGGTGGCTCATGCCTGTAATCCAAACACTTTGGAAGCCAAGGTGGGCGGATCATCTGAGGTCAGGAGTTCAAGACCAGCCTGACCGACATGGTGAAACCCCGTCTCTGCTAAAAATACAAAAAA